AACATGTTTTTCGATCCATTAGACGAGTTGGAGTGGGAATATCTCGCAATATTAGAAAGTTTGAATAGAAGTTTAACCCCGTGGGAGCAAAAGTATTTGGAGGAGTTGTACGAGCGGAAGGGTTTGGAGGAGGAGCATGAGCGACGAGCCAAAGCCAAGAAGGGGATCGTCGACGAGGAGGAGATTTTGGCCGTGGTCGAAGCGGGCCATGATGACGAGACGCACGTGGAGAACGATGCGGATGAAGAGGTGGTGACTCCCCAACTAATGGTCGACGACGAGTCCTTGAGGACAAGGACTCATTCGAAGGGGGGAGGAATGATGATGATGTGGGTTTCGAGGTCCGAGCACGCCGAGGGCCAAGGGTCGAGACAATCCGAGAAGGCCGAGAAAAGGGCCAAAAACATGCATGCGTGGCCTAAGAGACGGGTACGAGCTCGTATGCGAGGCACAACGAGTGCAAGGGAGCCGACCAATGAAGATCGTGCATGGAGGTGCGCGAGGGCACACAAGAAGGTGCACATCCAGCCGCGCGAACATGCGTGCGAGGTGACCCGACGGCAAGGGCGTGAATACGCACATTGGCGTAGACGTGCACGGTCGAGGCCCGAGAAACCCACACAGCAAAGGCGAGGACTGGATGAGATTCGGGCTAGACTACGCGGGCCTCGAGTGAGGGGACGGATACGCGCGAGGGGAGCTCGCGCGAGAGAATAGGAACGCACGTGCCGGGTAGATACGCGAACGGGCCTGGACTTGGGAGCACGTATCGGCCTGAGCTTATCGAAAGTAGTCCAGTCGAGCCTGGGAGTTGGCAATGGGCCGCGCGAGGAAGCACGCGGAGGTGTGCGTGGGCGCGATGCACAATTCCACGAGGCGAGTCGTGCGAGCCGATGAGCAAAGATTCTAGAAGAATATAATTAGATTAATTATGTAATTAGCATTTTATTATTATTAAGTTAGTTGTTAGATTAATTAATTAATACGTTAGTATAGTTATTTAGTTAGGAATTATTACGTGAGTTAGTAGGTTAGATTATATTGTTAGGATTAGTTTTATTAGTTATTCACGTGAGTTTTATTCACGTTAGTTAGATTAGTCAATTAATAGTTGTTAGGTTAGAAGTTAGTGGCGCGAGTGATTTATTAGTGTTAGGATATTTAGATTAGTTAAGTATTTTATATTTTGGTAAATTTTGATATGCAAGACATTTAGTTACTTTAGAATTAGATATATTTTTTATAGATTAGAATTATAGATCTAGTAGGATTAGATCTAGTTTTTCTTATAAAATACCCAATGTACTCATTCTATTTTATTATCAATGAAGAATTAATTAAAACCGAACATATGTTCAATTGTCTCGTGAGTTTACTCCTGTGAGTTTATAAGCAAGATCGTGTTAGAAATAGGACCAACATTCGATTTTCTTTCAAAAACCGCGAAGTGCGAAGGCGTCGGCGCGTGTATTAGCAACCTATCACGAAGGAACCAAGGCGTCGGCGCGGGTTTCGAGCAATTCGAGTTGGTGAGACACACAATCCTTCATCAGCGTGGAGCAGCAGGATGCCGCGGAGCGAGGACATCCGCGGCGTGAGTGAAGTAGACTGCCGCGGCATTGATGGCCATGGCGCTGGGCGTGGAGCAGGAGCCTCAGTTGGTGTCGTGTTGCTTGTCGCGGCGCTGCACGCTGATGAAGATGTGGTCATCGACCCACCCGAGCCCGAGGATGAGACGCGCTCGACCCACGCGAATAGGCATTTGAAGGTTCGGGGCAACCACCGAGGCGATGCGAAGGAGGTTCACGAGGGCTGCGTGCGAGGAAATCGCGTGACACTTAGATGAGCGATACGCGTGGACCGCGTGATGAGGCACGCAGGGTCAAGACGCGCGAGGCCAGGTCGAGCAAAGAAGGGAACGCGCGAGACGGTCCAGGGAGACGATGAAGAGGACTTAGCGAAGAGGTCGGGCGGTTCACGAAAGAGAGCTCGCGTGCGGTTCGACCACGCGAGAGACAGATGGCGCGAAGGATGTGAGCGGCGAAGTCGCGAGCAAAAGAAGGGTAGCGTGGGGTTCTCCCGCGGACAGGAGCAGGACGCGAGTGGCATGTATGTGGCGGAAGAATCAGGCGGTGCGCGAGGGGAGGATGTGGGGTGGACAACACCCACCGTGATCAGCCAAGGACGAGTGAGCGAACGTAAAGGGGCTGACGTGCGGGTTACGCGCGCGAAGGCAGACACGCGCGAGAGGTGGCAGACGGACGCATGAGGCGCGATGCGCGGGATGGGCAGGGGCTGGCGAGCAGGAGTCCTCGAAGGACTAGGAGTACCGCACCGCCTAAGGTTGATCCGCGCGACTTGAGGTGCAAGCTAGTGGACGCATGGGACGCGTGTGACGTAATCAAGCCCGAGACCGCAAAAGACAAGGACTAGCGAGACGAGTAGGGTTCAAGATGGAGTGCGGCGCAAGGAAGAAACACGCAAGGATTCTAAAAGGCCTAGGGCCGATTTTCTTAGCATGAATAGGAATATTAGTATGGTTAGGATTTCGAATAAAAGTCATGTGCCTTAGTAGTTTGGTAAGTCTTAGATTGATAGATATTTAGTTTTCTTATTACTTAAGATTTCTAGATTGTTTAGGACTTTAATTATTTATTGCTTTATTAGGAGATTTGGATAGATTAGGACTAGATTTATTTGAAGCCTATATAAAGTTACATGCTTTTGTTATTTTGATCATCGAATTATTAATGAAAAAACCGAACTTCTTGTTCAAATTCTTGTGTTAGATTTCTCTTGGTATTTAGCGCAAAACCCTTGTCACGAGAAGGGCGTCCACCGCACAGCTCGAGCAAGACGAGTTTGGCAAGGACATCTGTCCGAGCTGTCTCACCTATCGCGAGAAGATAAGGAGTTAACCTCCGAGTCGTTTGGTTGAGGGATTGAGGGATTGGGTGGGCTGAAGAAGTGAGCCTGGTTTGATGAAAGGTGGACTGTAGGAACCGGATTTGAGAGAGAGGTAATATGGGCTGGGTTGTGGCCTAAAGGAGATACGATTTGGGCAAAGAAATTGAGTTCATGCAAAGAGGTATTGTTGTGGCCCAACGTGCTATATTGGCCCAAGGTCTGTCCAAATGGTTGAGAAAAAGCCACATTGCTTCTTGGTTCTTTAAACCCTATTATTTGTTGAGAGTATAAATGCTGAGCTGAGGGAAGTTGTTGTTGATCAGTCAACACAGCGGTGGATATGTTCATCATCTCCGACGAGACAGCACCTGGTTGTGGATCGTACGACGCAGAAGGGAGCGGCGTTACGGTTGGGTAGGCCGAGAACCCCTGTGACTGGCATGCCGGTATCGTCACTGCTGGGGTGTCGGTGGGCCCGATTTCTTCTCGGCCTTTCTGCTGTGAATTGGGGTTTGGGTGTTGATCGGAGGTCGTCTTCTTTTCCTTAAAATTCGGCGAGGAAACCTCAAACTGATTTTTCTCGGAGCTTTCCAATATTTCTCCTTCTTCAATATTTTTGTTATTTCCTTCTTCCACCATTTTTGATTTGCTTTTTGCGAGAAAGGCCAATATAGCCTCTCGAAATTTCGGCTGAGATATGAATATGTCCAACTCCGATTCGAGACTGGGAGATGGAGCTTGGTTGTTGTTCGGTGCAGAGGCCATCGGGAGTATGGCTGACTGCAAAACTAGGTTAAAGACAGAAAATGAACTATATGGAAATGAAAGGATTAAATGAGGGATGACAGAAGGCCGGCCGGCCAGCGCCGGCTTGCCCGGAACTGAAAAATTGAACAAAGACAAGGTTTTTTTATGAAGGGTGGGAATTGGGGTGAAGGGATTCTAGAGAGAAGGGAGAGGTTTTTTTCTATAGAGAGAGAGAGCCTGAGTTTTCTCGCTGCTAGGTTAGTTGTGTTTTGTTGCTAGGTTAGTTGTCTGATGCTGCTAGGTTAGTTGTATTTGTTGCTAGGTTATTTTTTTCTTGCTGCTAGGTTAGTTGTTTGATGCTGCTAGGTTAGTTGTATTTTATTGCTATGTTATTTCTTTCTTACTGTTAGGCTAGTTGTTTAGGTTTCACGTACTCATTTTAAGGAGTGGTCTCATTGGATCCGTCTTATATATATATATATATATATATATATATTTATTAATAAAATCTGAAGTTATTTTTAAAGGTGAAACAAACGAAATTTAATCTTTCCCGCGTTTTAATGCGCATATATGACTAGATTTTTTCAATGCAGTTGGCTAAAATCGAAGGCTGCTGAGAATGTCCGCAATGGACGCTTGGCCCTCCTTTGAACCAAAAATGAAATTCTATTCTATGTTCAAGAATAAACCCTAAATCCAAAATACTTTCTAATTCTCCTACCAAATAGATTGCTATTTTATTTGGTTTCAACAGACAAATCTGGAAATCATCCGTACGTGTGTTGAATTTTTTTCTTGGGATTCTTTGGTATATGATACCTTAACAGCTCATACACCCTAGAGAAGAAAATTAGACATTGCATTGGAAATCAAGGGGCGAGTATTTTCTCTTGCGCTATTTGGTTCATCATTTAGGTATGTCTTTTTCTTTCTTTTACGTTATAATAATTTATTACGGCCACTCAATATTTCAGAGGACATCAAATTTATCTTATTTTCTTCAACCTTGATTGTTGTTACTATATCTATGCCTGAATTGTTCTTGAGGGCATTTTTTTTTTTAGTGATTGCTCAGGTTTTTTTAATTATAGTTGTTGTTTTATGTTGCAAATTCCTCAATTCGGGAGGTTCTACGAACCAAATTTCAGGGTATTGAACTCTTGTTGATTAACCATGTTTTGAAAAATAATGTAACCAACATAAACAGTAGTTTTGAAAACGATGAGCATATTGAGTTGAAGAGAATGAGTACAACAATTGTATTCCATATGAGAGCATGTGATGGTAGAGTTGGCGAGCGCATTAATTGTTCCTCAACTGCAGATAAATGAGATAAGCAAACAATGGACACAGAACAAGACAGGCCAACAATTCAGGTGAAAAACAAAGAAGACGAAACCCAAAACCAAAAAAATTCATTTGGAATTCCCCCGCATGAGATGGGCCATGCGGCCCACAACCCATCTCCAGGCGAATCAGAGATGATGTCGCCTCCCATCCAGACAATGGGCCAGGCCCAGGCCCAAGCCCAGCCCTCTGGCTACGATCCAAACAGGATACCTGCATCAATTTTCTCTAGCAAGCCCACTAACCCCGGCGAGTGGAGTGTGGCCTCCAATGAATCCCTATTCAGCATCCACATGGGCAACAACAGCTTCTCCCATGATTATGCCATTTTATATGGAAAATCGGCCGATCTTCAGGAATCCCAGCTCAGGATGTCTGGTGAGCTCCCTAGGCTCGACGACTGGAATAATAATAATAATAACAAATTGCAATTAAAATCGAGCGAGCTGATAGGGCTTTCCCCGGTGATGGAGGAAGGTCGGGTGTCATTGGATGAAAGGGGGAAGAAGCCGATGGCCGAGAGTGGAGGGGTAAGAATGGAAATTCATGATGAAAAGAGGGATAATGGGACAACCTCAAATGCTACTCTGCTAAAAAATGAAAATGGAAAACAAGTTCCCGTCCAAGTTATTAGTGTTACAACAACTGCAGCAGCTGAGAGGATGCCAAGTAATCCTCAGACACCTCGCTTTTCGGACGGAAGTAGAAACAACAGTGGCAGCTCGTTTGCTTTCCCAGTGTAAGATGTCCCGCCTTTCTTTAAAATATGTGTGTGTTTGTCCAAAATAAATGCAAATTTACTTCTCGTAGCCAATAAATATTTATCACTATATTACTATCCAAACTAAAACTAGATTTTGACCCAGTCGTTGCTTTTCCCTTTATTTCAGATTGGTCAACGATCATGGAAAACCGGAATCTTTGAAAGTCGTACCAGAAAAACCCGAGCCACCAGCATCACAAGCAGAAGATTCTAAAGAAACTCCAAATGCGTCAAGGACGAGATGGTTTTCCTTCGGCTTGTGTTGGCCTAGATGTTGTTGAGTCACTTCCATATATATAAGCCTACATTTTATGATATGCGTAGCATCATATATTGCTTGTCAATGTTAGTTTTAGTTCCTCTGTAAGAAAAAAAGTTGATTCTTCAAATTGCACATATCGTTGCTTTGTCCAAGTTATTTGTCTTATCTCAACTTCTTGTCCATCTCAAATCCTAGCAATGAAACTACTGTGTGATTCACCACATTACAAGTCGCAGTTACACCGTGACAATCACCATACTAATATTGTCACCACATTACAAGTCGCAGTTACACCGTGACAATCACCATACTAATATTGTCAACGACATAGATATGGTGAGTATCATGGACATTACATGCAATGTAATTTTTATCATGTCTTTTCAGATTGAACTTTAAATCTTTAGTGAAATCAATCTTAAATGTAATTCCAAACATCACAAAAATGGAGAACAAAAGTGATTTGGAATGAATAAGAACCATTAACTATATTTTTTGAAAAATAGAAGTAACAAAGTTCAAGAAACATTGAACGAACTAGGGTAGTATCCAAATAACACTCATATAAGCAGCATGCTTATAAAATCGGTTTTGCTATGGACCCAACCTTCCATATACAACAAATAAACCTACTATATTCTCTAATTACTTAAAGAATAATATGGTAGGTTTATTTGTTGTATATGGAAGGTTGGCTCCACTGTTGGCTTCATAGCAGAGAATATGGTAGGTTTATTTGTTGTATATGGAAGGTTGGCTCCACTATGGAGCCAACTGTTGGCTTCATAGCAAAATCGAAATAGTTTATATGCAATAACAGATTTAAAATGGATCAAAAAGACATGGACAGTAATGGCGATAGATCGTCAAAAATCAACATAGAAAAGAAAGTAAATGTTTGAATAAATATGAGAGTAATTGCTTGAGTGAATGATTTTCGTATATTTTTTTGTACGTTTCTTGATGTATTTATCCTAAATTTATTCATGAATAAAGTGAAAAACTAATGATGGAGGTATGCTACCTAAAGAGGTGGTTGAGACGTGTAGCAATACAAAAATTCGGTTTTTGAGGATGGGACGATCGTACAGCTTTTAATGATGGGATCCACTGGACGGTCACTTTATTGCTTTACTTTGTTGGTTTCTATTCATATTTTAAATAGAGATCGACAATGTTGACAGGAGGATCGACACCCCAATCAACGACGGAATCAACACAATGCTAATAAAGGATTGGGGATTTTTTCATCTGCTTTATGGGCTCAAGTTGTGGGCTGTGCGGGCTAGTTCCTTTATGTGAATCATACATCTATGGGAAAATTTTATCTATCCTACACGGACTGCAAATAATTGCAGAATTGCTAGTGACTAATATTTTATTGCAGTTAAATTATTTATGGCATAAATATTTACATGTATGCCTAACATATCAGTTACCAATTAAAAGATAATTGATGCCCTTAATACACGCCAATTATACCGTTATAAGAGAGAGGAAATGATCAAATGCTCATGCGCTGCAATTGATATGGAAAATGTATATATTACAATTGTTGCTCATGTTAAATGGATCGAAGGAAAGTATGATCAAATATCAAAGTATCAAAAAATTACACGCCAATTAATTTTCAACATCTCACAAAGTATCAAAAAATTATATATCAAATTACATGCCAATTTTTTGATGTTAAAAAATATTCATGTAAATTTTTGATATTACAATTCTTTTGATGCGCCGCATCAATTGTGAAAATTAATGCTCATCGTTGCCTAATACAGAACAAAAAAACGAACCCAAACTAAATTATACCATGTCAAGAGATAGTCCTGTAAAATATATGATCAAATACATGAATACTTTTTACTTAGATTAATATTTTTGTAACTGTTTTTGTGTATATTAAAGGTATATGTTTTTTATATTTTATAAATAGTCACCTATGATGATTTTCATTCACTAAAGTATTGAATGAATTATGTGGGTTCTGAAATCGATTTTGAGAAACGATTGAAACTCGAGTATATAATTAAAGTATATTTTATGTATATGTGTGTCCCGATCTGTCGTTGGCTTGAATTACGAGAATCTCGAGTGTATATTTTATGTATATGTGTGTTGTATTTGGTATATATTGTATATACCCGCAACATGTAAATTTTTATATCTGATGGTACCATATAAATCATGTACAGAATTTTCATACCCGAAACATATAAATTTTCATAGCCCGAAACATATACTGAAAATATATGAAACATATACTGAAAATATATTGTATATACCCGCAACATGTACAGAATAAAACTAACTATCAACGAATCAAGCACACCAAGTGTTCGACTATTATCTTTCTTCAGTATATTGTAACAATAACTAATATATTCATTATATTTTCAGTATATTCAGTATATTATCATCATCAAAGCATGGCTGCACAGTCGAGGTACTGTCAAACATTATTTCGTGATCATTATGTAGGTGATTGAAAGCCTTCTGAGAATGTTTCAGCGTGCCTCTTGAGATCATGTAAACTCTGCCAGGCTCAATTTGATCATAAAATTGATCCGCTACGGAATTGAAGCAAGTTACTCTTATTTCTCCTCCATCAGAATCAAGAAGATCAAAAGAGAAAACTTTGCCATCACCTCTAGGATTATTATAGTGCCTGAGCTCGTCCTTTGATGTAACTCTGGCCTTAATTGTCCACCTCCCTTGATAAATATTCAGTGCTGCAATAATGAAAAGGGTTTAGAGAGTTTTATTTTTGAAATCCACGCCTGAAAAGAGAAGAATGAGCGCCAAATAATGAAATCCTGAACGACGGTATATCGTATAGAGAGAGAGAGAAAATGTTGTGATAAACAAATTAAAAAAAAAGGGAGGAGGAGTGGGGAGGAGGAAAAACGGCGGATTGTAGAAGAAAAAGATAATGATGAGAGAGAGGGAAAAAGAGTGAGAGGAAGAAGAAAAATAGAGAGGGGGGAAAGAGAGAGAAAACGTCGATAATTACAATCTCATTAAGCTTTTACCATATTTATTTGTTGCTCAATAATCTAGTATGTTTGCAAATAAATATGATAGTTTTGGTTAATTTGTAAATAAATATATATGTTTAGTAAATATGTAATAAAAATGTTATTGAGTAGTGGGGGAGGTAATTTCCTCTACATCTATTGGTCTCGTCCAGAAAGTTTGACATACAACAAGGGGGAACCCCAGGTTTTCAGGAGGTCCTGGGGAACGACAGGTCGCCAAGGGGCCCAAGTAGCTGTCTGCACATTTTGTTTTTGGACGATCGCTTGTTTATCTATAGCACAATAAAAATCTGATGTTTAACTCAATTTTGTTGTTGGAAGTGTGATTGTTTATAACTTGATGGATTTCTCCTTGGGCCCACATTAAAGTTTGCCACGTTTCAGGAACAGAGAACCCACACCGACCCATCCTGCAAAAATTTATTGCCGTCACCTTCTTTTTTGACCGTTTTTGCTCATTTCAAATCGAAGGAGCTGTCTGTGATATGATAGCAGAGACCTTCCCAACATCTTCCTCCATAAAATCCCTCACCAACCTCACCAACCTCTAAGATGTATGGATCTCTCCCCACAACAAACTCTACCGGGAACAGAACGTGGAGAAGACGGTGAAGGAAGGACCGAACGGCGACCTGAAGAAACAACAGAGAGCACCGGCAGCGTCTCCGTCACATCTCCGAAGAAAAAACGACTCCGGCCAACAAAGGTACATGATACTCCTCCGTAAAATCGAAAATCGCANGGTTTACAGAAGGTTTCATGACATTGGGGGTTTTTTAATTGGTTTTGTAAACCGAAAAACATGTTCATGGTATATCGTTTTTGTTATTGTTGAAAAAGACGGCAAGGGAAAATTGGATGTACACTTCCTTGTAATTTAATTAGTGAGGGCATCTGACCTTATTTATTACTTGTCGGTGTGTTTAATGTTGATGAAATATGTTGGGAAAATTTGAAACTTGAACTTGAATTATAGGCCATTTCTGAAGTTAGCTTTTATTTTGAGGTGTGTAGAATGTAGAACAAATATGGTTTTGTCTCATGTATCTCCAATTTTATATCTATTGTTACATGTTCAGAGTACAATACCACTTTGTAGTTGGATTGTAATATGCCATAAGTGTAGATGTCATATGTCATTGGTATTGGTACTTCAACTGATAATAGTCAAGGAGACGCGAAATGACCTCCCGAAAATGAAGCCGCATATGTGAGTGTTTTGTTGGAAGAAGTCCAGCTAGGAAACCATGTAGCCGGTAAGATTACACCTAATCAATGGACAACCATTCTTGGGAAGTTGACCGCGCGGTGTCCTATTTTCTATCCTTATAAAGTCGCACAACTGCAAAGTAAGTACCAACGTATGAAAGTCTATTGGAGAAGGTTTCACAACATAGTGACCAACGCCATGGGATTGGGATGGGATCCAGATAAAAAAAATGATTACGGGGACTGATGAATTTTGGACGCAATGGACAACCGTAAGTATTTTTCATCCACGTTTTAACATACAAATTGTTTTTTATGTTACTTGTGTCTTGACGACTGTTCTTTGCTTGAGTTTACTGTGGCCTGTACTTTTATTATAATTGCAAAATATATTATTGTAAGGTAATTTGATTGGTGGGTGTACATGCCAAAGTTGGCCTGTACTTGTCTTGTTAATTGCAAAATATATTATTGTAAGGTAATTTGAATGGAGTTATCATACAAAAATTATTACTGTGGCCTGTGCTTCTCGTGTTAAAGTTGGCCTTTATTTCTTTTTTAATTTGATTGGCCTGTACTTCTCGTGTTAAAATTGTCGTTTTTATGTCACGTTCACAGGCAAATCGAAGGGATCATGACATGGAGGGTAAGGTGTGCGTGCATTATGAAGAGCTGACTACTATTTTTTTTTTGGGATAACAGCTACGGGGTCGAATGCGAGGGCATCAACTCAACGGGTGGCCGAGGGACGAAGCATCGGTGGTGACCCATC